TAGATCAAGCGTGTAAATGTGTAAAAACCAGCAATACTATCAAATAAAAAAAATTAAGAAGAACAATCTTAAACCTAAAAAAAAAGAGGTGATTCTAAACCCACCTCCATGTGGCCTTTGGCGCTGAACGGTGGCTAGTTGTGTTGAAGAGACAGTGCGTGAAAGGATGGCCCTGCAAACATCACTGACCTTGGAGGTATATAATTTGTTTCACAAGTAAACTTCAAACTTCCACAACCAGAGCCGGATCTGAGGGCATTGGTATGAAACACTTCATGAAGGCCCCACTTAAAAAAAATTCTATGTTTATGTAAATAATTATATAAAAATTAGAAAAATAAGGAAGTTTAGAAGATCTTAACAAAAAAATATTGGATAGGTTCTAAATCATTATGTGTAAAATATTTAATACAATTATATGATAAAAATAGAAGAAAAAAATAACTGTGTTCATGACAATCTTGTTATCTGATAAGAACCCGATGGCTACAAAAGCTTTGGTGAAGCAAATTGATAAGAATCTCCGAAACAAAATAAATGTGATCCGCAACAAGGACGACTATAGTTATACCGAGGCGATGGAGATTTGGTACTCCACGCGATAAAAACTTTTTATTATAATCTATTTCTAGAATAGCTCTGTTTTGGTTTCTTTAGAAGTTCAAACAAAAGTTGCATTCAATGTAAAAACGATTGATTTGAATATAATTTTATATTCAATTCAAAAAAAAAATCTTGTTATCTGATAACAAATTTTTCAAAAGAAGTTTCCTTTTGTTTATAATTTTTTCCGATTTTTAAATAAAAGTTATAGAAATTAGAATGTTAATTTTTGTATGGCCCCAAAATTCTCATATCCGGCTCTGTCCACAACCAATGTGATTTTTGTTCTTCAGGGATACAACCATTGTGATGCAGAAGCGAGAAGGACTCGATGAAGCTGTCAAAGAGCAGAATGGTGACAACTTTCTGTTTGAATATAATCTATGATAATCGATGAAGCTGTCACAGAGCAGAAAGTTTGTGGTGGTCCTTGTTGGTCGTTGTGCCTTGGCAGTCAAGTTTCTTCCTTTATTCTCATCACTACCAAATCTTCTTCTCTGAGATTTTCTCTTTGCAGCTGGAGGTTTTGTTCAATGGAGATTTCATCTCTGCAGTCATGTATGTGACGCCATGGGAGGCGATTATATATAGTTTCTTTTATAGAGCTAGGGTTATGCCAATTAACAATTATTTATGGGGCTAAAACAATATAGTTAAGACCAAAACCCAATATAATTTTTATAATCGGAATTGATGGCAAAAAGTGTAATTAGGATAATTTAATTAAAGATATCCTTGTAATCAATCAAATTCAAAATCGATGAGCGGATGCCACGTAGGATTTTTTACTTCATATTTAAAAAAATAGAGTAAGATGTTGGAGATATGAAATATAAGTAAAAAGGTTTTTGGAAGTGTGATAATGTTGAAACGATCTAACAATTATCGGTATTAGAAAGAAAAAATGTAATTTTATTTATTGAACTTACAAAGCAATTAGCTGCCACGCACACAAAAGAATAATCTAAAAGTAATAAAGGGAGATTAAAATTCCTCATTAAAATAAAAAATTGTCGCCTCTTCGGTCAAC